AAGGGAAACGACTAATTGGTGACCATTTTGTATTCCAGCAAGACAATGCACCTATTCACACCGCAAAAAAGGTTGTGGAATATCTCTCCAAGGAAAACATTACTATTTTAAAATGGCCACCGCAAAGTCCTGACCTCTCTCCAATAGAGAACGCTTGGGCAATACTTAAAATTCGTATTGCTGAAGCAGCGCCTCAAAACTTACGACAGTTGAGAGAATGCATAATTTCAAATTGGAAAAATATTAATCCAGAGGGATGTCGTAAGCTTGTAGACACCATGCCAGATCGACTTGCAAAAATGTCACTGCGAAATGGGGGCCACTGTGGATATTAACTAAGTTGGAAACTTAATTTTTCAAGATTTTTCATAAAAATATTTTAAGTTTCCGGACCCGGCAAAAAAGCTTAAAATTTATTTTTATTTTTTAGTATTCGTTTTGACAATTTATAATAAACCTTTGAAATAAACAGTATACTTCTTTTTAAAACCAACATATATTAATGCTATTTGTGTTTGAGTTCATATACCCACATTGGAAACTTATTTTTTCCACATACTGTATATACGCATATCCATTCGTTTACCTTAGTCGGCTTGCAACCAGTATTATTCTTCTCGGACCCTTCTCGCATACCGTTGGTAGTATTTAATTTCTCCAGCAAGCTTTTTACACCTCACCTCTGGTTGATCCTACTTTGGCGCTTGCTGCTGTTGGTTCATTTGATATGACATTGCGGAAACAAACGATTTATTTTGTACTTATTTATACCCATTTAACCCTTTGCGTGCTGTCCGCTTTGTGAATATGTATGTATATGAAAATTACACTCCGCGAAAGGGTAGGAAGGGCGGTTTGAATTAAGCTGGAACCGGCCAGCTCACCAGTACTGCTTTAATTTGACTATACCTCTATTAATTGTTCTTGCTGTACGGTTTTGCTAAACGAACGTGCTTAGGTATTAATGAAGTGTTTTTGCATTGCTTACATTGGCGCACCCAAAGCAGGGGGGGAGGGGGGCGACAGTGTTTGGGGTTGAAAAGCCCTCGAAAATTTTTGAAATACTTATAAAGTAAAGTCAAAGTAAAAACTTGGCCACATAGTCAAATCATCAAATATTTTTAAAGTTAATTTGAAAGTAAATGATAGAAAATTTTATGGTAACGCCACTGGCATTTTTCAAATCGATTTTTTAATAGTTTTTGTTGTTATTTGCGAAAATGCGACGACGTTTTTTCGAGTATTATTAATTTATTTTTGATAACCTATTATTGTTGAAGTAATTAAAGTTCTCCATTCACAATTTTATCGATTTTTTATCGCAAATAAATTCATGCATCGCAGTTGACATTAATAATTAATTTACAGGGATTGATTGGTGAGGGCCGTCATCGATTCGCCAACAGTTAGCCAACACTGGCTGCATACATACATACATATGTAAATGTATATATATGTATATGTATATACACACATATATATATATATATACACATATATTAATCGCCTCAATAGAAAGACATCAGCGCAAATACTTAGATGTATATGTATGTAGATGAAGTTGGTCCAAGAAAAGTTTTTTGGTGTTCGCGCAGCTTCCAAAATTATTCCTTTAGACGTTCTGGTACCAAACTTTAGACCTTTTTTTAATTTTAAATAAAACTTAAGACTTTTGACTTCACATAACCCCGAAGAAATTGATAGTTGAGATATCACACAATAACCTGCTGACACCAAATTTTGCCGACCCGTTATGGGTTTCGATTGCAGGTAACAAAAGTGGTGCGGTAGTGCTCGTTGTTGGCTTAAAAAAATTGCATCAAAATTTCAAACTTTTTATTCAGAATTTTTAGAGTATGCAGTTAGCTCATTCAATTTTAGTATATTTAATAAAGTGCAAGTTTCAAATAGCTAAAAGCTACCGTTGATTTTTGAGAATTTTTTTGTCGAGCGTGTTCCGCATTTTCTTTCATAGAACGCATGAACAATATCTAATTTTATATGGAGGAAAATGGTCAAAACCCTCTACAAAACAAAAAAAAAAATACTACAAAAGTAAGTGTATTGAAACTTTCATTTTATTATATTGAATTCAACGGGTTACAAAACTGCACACTCGAATATTTTCTAAAAATTCTGAAATAAGTTGCAAACAACATCATTTTGATTGACCACAACTGTACATGAGACCATATCAAAAAAATTAGTCTAATATATTTTTGCAAGGCAATTTAATTTTTTTTTTTATTTGGCCGAACATACATAGGAGTCCATTGTTAAATTTTTCGTCATATCTTCGGTATTTACCGCCTGATCTTAAAGTATGAGATATGTATATGCTGTTCCTGTTCCGACGGCTTATAAATCTGTCTTAAATACCTTTAGTTTGAATTGCCTTTGAAACAGTAAATAAGCATTCTTAAGCCCCTTTTTATTAACATTCATACGGAATGGTTTCATTACATTTTTTAATTCAATTCAATTTGACTTTTAAATAAGAGGCAATCCCTTTAATATAGTTTCGAAATAAAGCTTTTTGAAAATTACTTCATTTGGCATACAAGTTGGAGTATTACATTTAATTTTCTTAAACCTCCTTCATTTGGTACCCATATAAAAGTATTTCGTTTAATTTATTATTTAAATTGATTTTAAATTTCTGCCCTCTTTTAAAAAAAAAAAATAAGCATAAATGGTTTTAAACCCCTTTCGTTCGATACCCACATTGTCACAAAATTTTATTTAGCTCATTAATTAATGGATTTTAACTTTTTGAAACAGCTGTGCCAAACTCTATACAAATCCGTTCAGTTGTCTTAGCGTCGAAGAGCAACAAACAGTATACTCACACTCTCACTCACAAACTTTATGATTTACTTATACATTAGTAGAGTGGTCTTCATTTTGCTTGCTGGGTTATTTTCTATTTAAATAAATCTTCTGTCAACTGCTGAATATACAGACCCATATACATATAGTTATATGTATGAATGTCCGTATTAACAGCACAAATTTATACATATTATCACATAGCTGCGATCTTTTGCGCTGATTTTAAAATGGAAAATGAAGTCATAAAACTGTTGAATAACAATAAATCTCTAAATTAATATAACGTTCAAATTAATTGGTTTTTATTGTTTGCTATAGACTACTTACATACATACATACATAGAGTAGAGTGATTCTATGTACAATGTACATTAGGGTGGTCCAAAATGGGTAAAGTCGAATTTTTAATGCTCTCACCCTCTTCGATTGTTCTATGTCGAAAAAAATATGCCCCTATTTTTTATTTTGAATTAATGTATTCCATGTTTATTATATGCGATAAAACTACTTTTCGTTGAAACGGTATGCAATTCCTGAAAATCAATATTTTTCGATCGGAAAACTGTGGTTCTCTTCAGGAGACTTCCAATAACAATACCCAATTGTTTATTTAACCACTTTTTAATACTAAAGATTTTTTATTTATGCCTCCATTGCATTTTCTGGCATTTTCTAGGGATTTTGGCCGACCTATAAAATATAGTTACTATGAAAAAATGGTTTAAAAAATAATTGCGCATTATTATTGGGAATCTCCTGAAGAGAAACAGAGTTTTTCGGTCGGAAAATATCGATATTCAAAAATTCTATACCATTTCTACCAAAAGTTTTTTTTCCCCCATATAAAATACTTGGACAACTTTGAGCGCTTAGGGGTCGCTCACTAAATATTTTTTGATTTCAAAATAAAAAAAAAATAGAAGTATGTACATATATTTTTTTCGACATAGAACAATCCTAGGGGGTGAGAGCATACAAATGACGACTTTACTTTTTCACATGCATTTTTGGACCACCCTAATGTACATATGTACATATAAAATATTCACGATTTGAATTTTCACGTCTTTGACGACAGATGGCGCTACCAGGGCCCGAATTACGGCTCTCGTGAACCGTTCGAATAGAGTAGAATTTCGATTCGAATCGAATAGGCAAATCATGGCACTCGATTCGAAAGCTAGCGACATTTTTTCGATTATTAAGCGGTTTACAATTAGTAAATATATATCATCGTTATCAATTTCTCAAACGTAAACAAGAAGTAAGGTTGAGATTAAGATTGAGAAAATAGGTTATAAAAGTGATGAGGTGGCGAACCCTTTTGAGGTTTGACTGTCACCCGCGGATACTAACGTTTACCCATTACGTCACGAACGTCCTGAAATGGCTGTTCTACAATGTAAATAAAAACCTTACAAACCACTGTGGAAAAGTCTACTCTATTAAGAAAATATTAAAAAACTTATTCTCAACACTATTACTTATCAATCGACCCTCGTAAGCAAATTTTCGCTACTCACTAAAGGAAATTGCCAGTTGAATAGCTTTGCAGCTTTGTTGCTATCTAGGTCAGCGGAACAAATCAAAATAATAATAATATTTTGCGCTGATTAACAATCACAGTTGGGTGGCCGTAAGCAGAAAATTAAATTATGACAAGTGCAGTCAATATCAATTGCATTTAAAGTAATTGTCGTTGCCCGCTAGCGCAGCGAAAATAATTTCTTACGCACAAAACAAAAAATAAAAATAAAAGTAAATGTTTCGCTATGCTTCGAAAACTCTTCAAACTGCTAATCACAGCCTTTTAACACTTTCGAAATTAGCACCTTTGGTCAGTCGCAAACTGTATGGCATTAAAAAGCTGAAAAAATGAGAAAAACGTTGAAATGCAGCGCTTTTGGCGCTTAAGGCAAGCAATGCAAACTGATTGTAGGATTTTTTTCTGTATTAGGTAAAATTGATTTCAATAAAAAGTATCTAAGGAAATTGCATTTATTAACATTTTAGTACACTATGTTTTTTATGTTAGTCAAGCTATACGCGATTTAATTAGAAAATCGCTAACAATTTTGCACTTAATCGCAACTTAATTATTTTCATTGTTTCTCGTTTTCTCTCTCTCCTTCTTACATATACATTTTCCGCAATCAACGTCAATTTAGATGCAATATCCTGCACTGGACAGCCGTAATGCGGTATGTTTAATTGAAAAAGACAAAAAAAAAAAATATTTGTATTGGTGTTCTGTGTATTGTGTCTGTTTTATACTCTTGTAGTGAAGTGTTTTTGACGTAAGAATATAAGAAAAATTTGAAAACTTTATTTTATGTACCTTATTGCTCAATTTCCGCCTTAATTACGGCTATTTAATGTTTTTGTCTGTGAATTTTCTTTAACTCCTATTTGACTTGCCATATTCTCACACCTCAATTTTTATTGCATCAACGAACTTGTTTTTTTTTTTGTAAACATTTTTTGTTAGGCGAATTTGCGAAATAGACGTCTACTTTGTTAGCGCACAATACGCCTTAATTATTTTTAAATGTTAGTTATAAAATATTTCAGTGTGTGTGTGGAAATTTTGCTACTTTTTTAGGCATGTCATGAAATTTTTTTTTGTGTGTTAGGGTGCATCACCAACAAAGTTGTGGTTTTTCAACAGAAATTATAAAATTTATTATATTTAAAAACTACCGGATAAATACTAAGATTTATATGAAGTGTGCCGATTTTGAAAATACCTCCAAAAATCGAGTTTTTATTGTAAATAAAATTATTTAAAAAAATATTTTTTCAAAACAATGCCCTCATATTATATAAAACTTTAAGCTTAAAAGGTCTGCACAAAAATCTGTGAACATTTTATGAACGGAATAAGAATAATACGATATTTGGAGGTATTTTCAAATCGGTCTAGCTAATATTTTTCCGAAAAAATTTGGCGACAGTCTTAAAATATAATAAGTTTTATAATTCCGATGCGAAAACAGCATCGATTTTTTTTTGTATAGAGAGTGATGCACCCTAATGTATGTACATACCAGCTTTTGATAAATAAATTATATAATAGGAAATTTTATTTAAAAGCTGTCGACAAAATAAACAAAATGAATTTGGTCAATATGTCAAATTTCAACTAAATTGTCTGTTTCATTATAAAAAATACTCAGATTTCATAGCTTGTCTTTATATGCATAAATTTTATAATTTTTTTTATAGCTGGCAACTCCAAAAATTTGCCTCAATATGATCATGTATCAACAAATGGGGTCCACATCAATACATATCTATCATATTTTTATTTTTTTTAGCTTAAACCGAAAACGTGTACATATTCCAATTTAAAAAAGTTGCCAACAATGCTAGTTTCAAAATAATTTTGCGTAAATACGCAAGATAGGCCGATTGTATTCACTTAATGTATTAATTAAATTAAATTTAACTTTTTAAACATTTAGCAATGCTACCACAAAAACTGTTTAAAGCTAAGTTTTCTTTAACCTCTTTCGTTTGATATCCATATTTAAACATTTCATTTACGTAGCTTAATTATTGAATTAAATTTGTGTTTTAAACAGGAAACTAAACTGTCTTAAACCTGTTTGGTTTGACATCCATATTGAGATCTTTCATTTATCTCACTGATTAAATTTAAATGTATCTTTCAAAAAGGTGGCAACCCCCTTTGGGAAATCGGTCAAATCGAAGCTTTCTTAAACCCCTTTCGTTTGAAATCCATATTGTTATTTTTCATTTAACTCATTGTTCAATTTAATGTGCTTCTCAAACAGGTGGCAACCCTTTTCAATATTAACATACATATATTTATATTAAAAATAAAGTTTTCTTCAATATTTATCGTTTGACATCCATATTGTAATGCAGTTTTCATTTAGCTTATTGATTAAAGTAAATTTGTCTCTTAAACAGGTGGCAACCCCATTAAAAAATTTTTTTGAGGCAAAGCTTGTTTGAACTTCTTTCATTTGACTTCCATATTGCAGTATTTCATTTAGCTTATGGATTAAAATTTTGTCTTTTTAACAGGTGGCAAATTTTTTAAAGCTAATTTTGATATAAAACTTTTTTAAATATCGTTTGTTTGACATCTACGTACCGTACCAGTTTTTCTGTATTTCTCGAATTTAAGCGAATCTCCTAATTGTTTTTGGTCACTGTAAATAATATATCAAATAACTCAGCCTGCAAGTTTACTCTTTTGCAAACCTACTTTTTCGAGTGTTAATATTCGCATACATATTAAACTTATGAGTAGCATACTTACCGGCGACCGCATTGAGGACACTCATTTATGTTGCACTCATACATTTCGGCTTGACACGTTCTTTCCTGTTTCAAAAGGGTGTGCTCATTTATGAGTTTCCAATTGATTAAACTTTTTCGCAAGGTGTGAGATAATCAATACAAACATGTTTGCGCGCTTATTCACCCTCTAGGAAATTCCGCCAGCAGTAGCTGATGTAAATTTCCGAGAGAAGTTTAAGGTAAAGTGCTTTAGGCTCCGGTCCACTAAAATGCCGATTTTTCGGTCGAGTTTTTTATCTTGAACATCCAAAGAAGTATGAGTGGTGGTTCCAAGGTTTTTAGTTTAGCTTGACTGCCACTATACACCCTTACTCTTACGGGTACAATGATTCAATTTTGCCGTAAGCCAAAGACCTCCATTTGAAAAACTGTTGTTATTGTTCCTATCGAATCGAAAAAAGAAGGCCTCCGCTGCAAAATATCCGAAAGATTGCTTTTTTTCTTTTGGTCAGTGTAGGACTTTAACCCCCTAAAATCAATCAGATGTCCAACGGTTAGACCTCTTTGGATCACCGATTTGGTATTACGTCAGAAGACCTTCCGCAGCACGAAGCTCTAGCATCAGTTTGGTAATTCAAAGGACGTCCAGAAATTACTGCGCATATCATTACGGTACTGAACGTGCGGACTGCGTTCCATTTGTTAGAACCGTTACAGGTATTCCGGAAAACAGCCATGCCCGCTTATGATTTGAGTTAGTAGAAATCAATACGAGGGATTAGTTAGCGTCCACTCGGCGAATGATCACATCTACTCTGCCATTCCTCTATAGCGCAATTTGTTTTTCCGCGATAACGCAAATTTCATCTTCGGATACCATTTGAAGAGCAATGTGCCTGCATATTCGTTCGGCTGGGCGTAGATGGATATTTTTTTTCTTCGGCCCAAACAGGAGCTGCATAAGGCAGTATTGAGTCCACAACTGTGGATAGGAGGCCCACCGTTTACTCGTGCCGTCTTGAAGTCTACTGTTGATTAGTGGCCTTTGAAACTTATCCTGCTGTCGATCATAATTCCCAGGTATTTGATTGCTTCCTGTGAGCATATTGTGGTGTCCGCCTATCAAGATTTTAATATTCTCTTTATGTCTCCCTGCTTCCGTTTTTTGCACCGCCGCTGAAGTCCTGCGCCATTTAGCCAACTTTGCACCCTCGCTGCTGCATCTGGCTTCGAAATATTCCAGCCGTTTGTCCACCGTTCTCAACGCAATTATAAGACCTCTTAATATACTTATGGTGCATCCCCCCAAAACTGATCCCTGTAAGACGCCTTCTGTTACCTTGTATTGTTTTGGGCTTTCTGCTGTGTCTTCCTGCTGCATTCCATCGCTGAAGTAAGTTCGGATGAATCCTAGCAGATAGATGGGTATATTGTAATTTAGTGATAACAGGATATCACCCCAGGTTTCTGTGTTAAATACATAAATTTGTGACTTCCAATGTGATGCCAACACAGTACCTGATCAGGTAATGCCCTCCGCTAATCGCCTCCTCTGCTATGTTAGTCACTAACCTTATTGTATCAATCGCAGATCCTGCCCGTTAAAGCTAAATTATTTGTCGGAGAGACCAGTAGTACATTCTAAAAGCTCCTGAAGGCAATTGCAAATTATTTTTTCAAAGACTACTGCCACTGTATCGAACATACATAGCGGTTTGTATGGATACGGTTGAGCAAAACTAACCGTTGTAGCGTTAGGTACGTGGTATATATGTAAGTTTACGAATCTGTCCGGGCTGATCTAAACCGCAGTCCTGAAAGCTATGTTCGGTGCACCTGGGTCCTTATTTTCTTTTATTCGATCCAATGTGTATATTACCTCGTCAGTTGTACCTGGAGGTACAATCGTGATCTCGTTATGGCTAAGGTCTTCGTTTCTCATTTCTTCGTGTGTTGGGAACAGTGAGAGAGTACTGGAGATTTGGGCAGTTGGGTATGTTACGTTGTGTTATGCTATGTTATGCAATTTTAAGTTATGCTATGTTAAGTTATGTTATGTTATAGTATTTAATGTTATGTTATGTTATGTTCTGTTATGTTATGTTCTGTTATGTTATGTTCTGTTATGTTATATGTTACAATTATGTAATATCAGTTATGGTATCTATTGTTATGTTATGCTTTGTTATATTTTACAATCATGTACATAATAGTATCAGTGAAATTTTTCTCTGCAGGCAATAGTATTTACGTGTTCGTGTTCGTATAGCCTCCAATAAGTATGCCATCTGGCCTTCATTTGGTTTTTCCATTAAACGAGCATAAGGATCAAAAATTTGTTGCTGCCTATTTTTTTACCCTACGTTCATACTTACTCATTCATAAATGAAAGCTTTTTGTTTTAACACTTCTCTGTTTCTCTGTGTGGCCCTCAATGCTATCGTTTTCATGATTGTGTGCTTGACCCGATTGCGCTTTTCATCGTTTCCGTTTGATTGCAAATGTCCCTCTTTCAATTTAAAATATACTTACATTTCTTTCAGTCACTTGCATATAAATTATCTGCAATGCAAAAAGGTCCATTATTAAATTGTAAATTAAATAAAAATTCATCACAGGCATAAATGGAATTAAAAAGCTCAGTATTAGAAAATCTACATATAAATGGGATTATTTGCATGTGAAGTAGTTATACGTTTAAAAAAGTTGAATAGGATTTAATATTCTTAGGATGTTGCAACACATGGAAAATGGCTTTGTCACTATGCCATGCGTTTGTTTTACTAAGGAGATGTTTTTTTTTTTTAATTTAATTATGAAACTTATTTGATTCGAAGTAACAAAGTGTTCTATAACCTTTATATAAATTCTTAAACCCACACATTTCCAGCTGCGCTAACACCTTCACCTAATTCCGGAAAGTGTGTCA